AGCTGTGATGTGAGTACTGAATCCCTGGACCCAGCCAAGCTTTTTCAGCAGTGTGACCTAACACTCAGCAGTTTAACCTGGATTTTTGTCCCTTGCAACTGATAGTCTCAGTGAATAAAGATGAAGTTCCAGAGGATGCAGTGACAAAGGCTGGATAGGAAGGAAGTCGGACAGGCGAAGTGAGAAGGGAGAGAGGACTGAGTTACACAGGGAAAGTCGAGGGCTCAGTGGTGGCAACCTGTGGCACGAGTGTTGTTTTTCTTTTCTTTTTTTATTTTTATTTTTTATTTATTTTTTTTTTTTTTTAATTTTTTGGTACCGGGGATTGAACTCAGGACCTTGCTTTTGTGAGGCAGGTGTCAGAACCACTGAGCTAAATCCCCGGCCCTTTTCTTTTCTTTTTTTAAGAGCAGGAAGCTTTACCGGGAAACAGGCATGGGGGAATAAGAAGAGCTGCTGGGAGTCAGGAGGGGTCCCACATGGGTTGCCTGAATATTGCTTTTCTTTTAAGACAAAACATGTTAACGTATGAGTTGTTCTGTATAAACTAAAACTTCAGCATTCAGGTTTAAACACAGCGTTGGCATTTTGTGATTAATAAATGGGTTTTGGGTTGCAGTTTGGGCATTCGTCTCTAAAAGGTTCACCATCACTGGTTTAGGGGACTGGAAGATGCTTCTTAGGGGTTGAGAAGTAGAAAAAAATGATGTGAGAGACAACATCAAAGGAGAAGATAATGGATTCTCATTAGAAGAGTCAGGGATCATAAATGTTTCACTTAATGGTTTTAAAAATTAAGAGGCTTTCAGAAGAAATAATGTTGTACTTAGAAAATCTATGACTGTGTATAAAAACCTGTGCAACTGAGGAGAGCTCAGCAGTGTGGTTGAATGCAAGATAAATACATGAAACAATTTGGCTATACATTTTCTAGTGAAAAACAGAAAGAAAGTATTATCTATATAGATAATAAAATATAAGCTCAGACATAAAAAGAAATCGACGTTAGCCTTATAAAGTGCAAAGCAATGCTGAGCGATAAAAAGATGGCTTGAATACTCATTGAAAAGTTAATATTACAAATTATCAAAATGTTGTCAATTGTTTAATTAATATTCAGTTACATTTAATGTAATTACATATGTAAAGGTATTAAAATTGACAAAACATTATTAAGTTTGTGAAGGAATAAACATGCTAATAGCTAAGGAAAAAGATTAATATTTGTCCTACCTAGATAAAAAAATTTCATTCTACAAGCCTAGTGTGGTGGCACACACCTGCAGTCCTAGCACTCCAGGAGGCTGAGACAGGAGAGTCACAAATTTGATCCAGACTGAACAGTAAACAACTCAGGGAGACCCTGTCTTAAAAAAAAATAAAAATAATAAACTGCTGGGGAGGGAGCCTAGCGTGAAGGCCCAAGGTTCAATTCCCCATACCACACACAAAACTAAAACAAATAAAACTTATTCTACAGCTCTGAAAGTTCTATAATGTTTTTCTATATAATTGGGTGCTCCAGAATACTATAGATGAAAAACTGTTAAGTTGCTCAGTTAAGTCAGTGAATGGTCAGATGTATGACTTGAACACTGGCTAGCAAAATTGGTATTTAGTGATGAACTGTACTCCAGGCTGAGGCAGGGACTAGACTGATGGCTCTTCATGTCTGGATTGCGTGAATGTTCATCATGACATCCAGAAAGGCTACAGAAGCCAGGTAGATTCTCATATGCAATCACCCATGTGCTTTTCAAAGAGTGTTTCTGGAGGGCCTACTATGTGCTGTGTATAAGGAACACGGCAATGAGCAAACGGATGGGATGTCTGAGCTTAGAAACTCATAGTCCTACAGGTCCAGCACTACGGTGAGGAACAAGAGATAATCACCTTGGATGCAAAATTTAATGCAGGATAATAAAAACTTCAGTAATTCTATTTGTGAGCTTGGGCTGCCAAAACAATATATTATTAACTAAGTGACTTAAAAAGTAGAAATGAATTTTCCCACAGCTCTGGAAGTTGGAAAGTCAAAGATCAAGGCTGCTGATTTCGTTTCTCATGAGGGCTCTTTGCCTGGCTTGTAGGTAGCCACCTTCTTCCTTGGTCGTCACATGGCTTATTCAAAGAACTTTTTTTCATTAAGAAAGTGCATACTTCAGAAGAAAGGGGGCCAGAGACAGAGACAGAGAAGGAGGGAGAGACAGAGATTTCTGGTGTCTCTTGTTATAAGGTCACTAGTCGTATTAGATTAGGGTCCACCCCTTACGCTCTCATTGACCCTCTTTACAGGCCCTATGTCTAAACACAGTTGAGGTGGGCTTAGGACTTTGACGGAAGATGGTGGTGAGAAGGGTAAGTCACTGTGAAATGCTGGGTCAGATCATGGTGGAAACCCATCCCATCTCGGGAACTTTTAATTATATAAGCCCGATTGTAACTGAAAGACTTCTAACTGATAAAATGGGCAACATCTGATGGTAGAGAAGCTGACATTTTATCTCAGCTGAAACTTCACTTCAATATATTTACTTTGAGAATAGAGAAAATGTTCTGGGTGCATGCATTTGGAGGTCAAGGGCCTCTAACTTGACTCCAACCAATTCCTTGTTTCACTCTACTTCCCTGCTCATACCCAACTTAGTTGTTTAGGTCAGTAGCAGCTCTTGGGGTGTGAACGACACTTTAAAGACAGGTCTCCCTTCATCTGATGATGGCATCATTTCTGTTGGACTCATGGCGGCAGCAGCCAGGGCTGACGCAGTGAACCATTCCACATGCATGGACCAGTGGGACCAGGTCCAGGAGTGATTCCTAAAACTGACAGCAATGTGTAACACCAGACCAGGAGGCCATCTGTAACATCCTGACATGTTTTTTTTAGCAGTCCACAGTCCAAGACCAACAGGCATCATCTCTACACACTGTGGCAAAATATAGCTGTTCTGTTCCATCTGCAAAAGGACAAGCTACTTGAGACCCCACTAAGTTGTCCACTACCTGATTTAATGCTTACTGTATGTTTCTGTGTATAAACTCTGCAGTATAGCACTTGGATACATATCTTGGACACACGTGGACTTTGAGAAAGACAGTACCCTATTTCAACTCTCCATCAAGGAACAGTAAACAAGATAGTGGGATCTTAGAGAAAGGTTAGACAAATACATCTATAGAAAACAGAGCCCAGGAATAGAGCCACATAAATATATCCAACCGATGTATAATAAAGGAATAAAAGCAAAAATAATAGGACCAAAGGCATTTTCAGCAAATAGCACAGTAGCACTCAAGACAACCTTGTTATCAAGCAGACCAATGTATCGGGAGTAAGAGTCTCAGAGAGAAAGGAGAATAAACTAAGGAAGAAAAATACTCATAGAAATAATGGCTGAAAAAGTACACTTGTGATATAAAACACTGATCTACAGATTCCTCTCTGCAAATAAAAACTGACACACCCATTCCTAGCCACAAAGCAAACTATGCAGAGGGGGAATCTTAAAAAGTGAATGTTATAATAATTTCACCAGAGAAATAAGTACAAAAACTGCAACAGATCTCGAAAAGATATTTTATCTTCTGAATCAATGACAATTAAAATGTAGAACTCTGATAACTTTTATACACACACACACATATTCGCCCACAAACACATCCACACTTTGACAAATCAATCCAGTATTTCAAGTCTAAGAATGAAAGTTTTCTTATCATTCTAAAGCCTTTGTTTAGTACTTCTAATTGGGTGGTAGGACTGGCAGCACATATTCTCAGGCTTTCTTTATGAGTATGTTCACTTTTTCTTTATTATTAAAGGATAGAGGCAGGGCGTGGTGGCGCACGCCTGTAATCCCAGCACTTGGGAGGCTGAGGCAAGAGGATCGCTGTGAGTTGAGACCAGCCTGGGCTACACAGTGAGTTCCAGGTCAGTCTCAACTACATAGTGAGACCCTGTCTCAAAAAAAATTGAGACCAGTGGGCTACACAGTGAGTTCCAGGTCAGTCTCAACTACATAGTGAGACCCTGTCTCAAAAAAACAAACAAACAAAAAAACAAAAACAAAAACAAAAACAAAAAAAGGATAGATTTTCTGAGCGAGGAATCTTTGGCTGAAAATTTTTTCCCTTTAACCTCCACTGTCTTCCTTCCAGGTTTCTGAGTGGATGACAACCACTAATCTCATCACTGTGCCCTTGTACAGGAAGAGAAATTTTTCTTGGTTGCTGTTAAAAAGACTTTCTATCGGAACACAGTGAAATTCATTGTAAAAGGTATACAAGATTTTTACTCCAAACTCACTGCTACTTAAGTATACAAGAAGTACCAGTTCTGCCTGAATTAAGGCAATGCCACGAGTGTACTCCGGGAAAACTGAAGTTGCAGAAAGAGAAGACCCAGAGTAATCCAGAGTGGGGTAATCTCTGTGCAATACCACAATGCCAGAGACAACTCCACATTTGCAAAGCTACATACTGTGTGACAGGAGTTCAGGCGGAACCCCCCAAGGAAGTAGTGACACCTCGGTTTCAGGGGGACAACCCTGTCAGGGGGAGTCTTCTACTGGCCTTGATCAGAAAGGCCCAGGCAGGAAGGTAGAGGACGGGCAGGGTGGGGCCTCTTCCCTCCCCATGCTCTTTATTTGTTTGTTTTGAGACAGGGTCTCACTATGTAGTTGAGACTGACCTGGAACTCATGTGTAGCCCAGGCTGGTCTCGAACTCACAGCAATCCTCCTGCCTCAGCCTCCCGAGTGCCAGCATTACAGGCTTGCGCCACCACACACGGCTCCCCATGTTCTTTGTGATGAGACCAGAGCCGTGTGGTGCAGGCCTGGCAGTGCTCCCCAGTCTCTAAGGGAATTCTCAGGACATTTCCGATGACAGTTTCTTTTTCTTTTAAAAAGTGTTCATGGTACATGGGTGAGCTCAAGTTCCATATCTTGGTGAAGGATGTCATCCTTGCCTTTGGGCGTGGACTGGTGGACTCCATTCCTGTCATTTCCAGACAAATCCATCCTACTCCCAAAAGAGGGAAAAATAACATTGGAAAGGTAAGGAACTCTTGGCCAGATCGCAACAGACAATGATTCTCTTTTGTCCTTTTGTAAGTCAGTAGACACTCGCAAGAGGGAAATCTAGAATGCCATTCTTTTGGGACAGGTCACAGGGCAGGGTGCAGGTGGGCACTGGGACATCTGTCAGAGACTCAGACCATCTGTGCGGTGGTGCTGGAGGTGACAGAGTGAAATCAAATACTGTGACCCAGCGGCCAAGAGCTTGGGACCTCTGGAAAGGAAAGGCCCTGAGCACAGGCTCATCAGTCCCGTGGGCATGGCCCATAGGCCTCTGGACCTAGCTTCTAGGTGCTGGGCTGTGCTGAACCTGAGGGCCTCCGTGAGAGGCTGCAGATGCCTCTGGCCCCCAGAAGCAGAATCCTCCCTGGCACCTGAGATGCACAGGGAGATTGGAGCTTCCTGAGAGGAGGAACTATGACTGAAGATTCCCATTGTGTGGGAAATTTTGTTATTTTCCGAAAGAGAGAAAAAAAAATTAGCTACTTGAGGAATGAGCACTTGTTTGTTAGAGGTAGAAAGTCCTACTATTTAGGAACATATGGAGTCTGCATTTTCTAGGGAGAGGAGAGGGAGAATTGGGGCTAGGCCTCACTTTCTGTCTTGTCTCTTAGCTCCCTACGGAGAAGAGGAGGAACAAGAGCAAGGAGAGCTGCTCAAAGGTAAAGCTCTGTCTCTCAAATTGCCCTCAACTGTTCCTCAGCTAAAAGGCCCACATCTCCATGGATATCAGTGGGGGAGGCCTGAGAGGGAAACTCCTGGGAAGGATTTCTGAGGGGGACATTTCCTAGGCCCTGTGCTGGGCCAGAGTTTGGGTGATATCCAGGAGGGGACAGGGAGGGTCATGGTGAAGCAATACTGCCTGATCTAGAGGTGGGACCTCCAGGTCTCAGGACGGACAAGCTGCTTTGTTCTGCTGGAGCAGACTCCAGTTTGAGATGATCTGTCCTTTGTCCCCCTAAAAGCTGGTTGTGAGGACCATGGTGCTTGGTGCATGTGGAAGGACCTTGTAAATGATAAAATGCAGCCCTTCCCCGTACCTTGGTATCACTGTCAGTGTTTGGTGGCCTTTGACACTGATGGCGGCCTCCAAGTCTTCTCTTGCATGGTGTCCACAACATTCATTCTACTTAGCATCTTGTAAGATCCCAGGCCCCTCCCTCTCTGCCATAACCTAGTTTGCATATCCAGTTTATAGAGTGCGCCTGTAGGAAGTGGTGACTCAGGATGAAGCTTTATCTCTGCAAGGATTAGGATCTTTACACCCTGGGGTCCTCCTTCCTACCAGGATCTATGCAGTCAGTTGAGGGATGTGGCTGGAGCCAGAGGGAGACTCCACACTGGGTGGCTTGTTACTAAAGCCATTGGAGGAGAGCAACAAGGGCTTTCTGAAGTTGGGGTGTGGGCACTGCAGGGGTTGTGAGCCACAGGTACCACCACTGCCTGTCTCCTGGCTGCAGCTTGTGCCTCCTGACTCCTGAAGGTTCCTACAGCAGCTCTGGGACAAGGGACGATGTGAAAACGCCTCAAGGGAGGCACACCAAGGCCTGCTAGAGGCCACCCACCACACAGATACTAGGTAGAAGATCCTTCTCCTAGAACTTTGTCCCCATCACTTTCAGCAGCTCCTGGGACCCAGCACCCTGTGCCTCTGGTGGTAACTCTATCAACAGATCATCAGAAGGACACCATGGTTGGATGAAGATCCCACAAAACTCCCTTCTCAGGAACTCCTATTTGCTATCTCTCATCACAGCCATCTCAGGCTCTGACAGCTCTCACTGCTCCATTTCCTTCCTCTTCTGGTGGAGGGCAACTAACAGCATTTGTGTTTCTCCACCTGGGCACCCAGCAAATCCCAGCAAATACATCTTTCTTAATGTTTTGTCATGGAGCAACGCCACCTGCTGGACACCACCTGCTGGCATGTAGAGGTTGGGGCCTCTGTTTCATTAATCCCAAAGTCTAGAAGCTATTGGTGATGGTATTCACCGGCAAAGTACTAATAATGTGGAAGGATCAAGAAGAGGAGAGGCTCTTTGTCCACCCAATGAAGCCAGACTATTCTCTGGAGACTCTGTGTACGTGTTAAGGTCACTAGGTGACAAATGAGACACCTTTACCTAGCCCTTCTGGAACCCGAAAGACAAACCCGAGCTGTTTTCCAGCTCTCAGCAGCTCTCTTCCTACATAGTGTCATGGGACCATTAAGAACAAGAACGCAGGCAGCTCCTTGGGGATCTGCTGCATTTTCACAGTGAGTTCCTTGTGGCTACTGCCTGAGTCTGTAAGCCGTGTCCCCCTTCACAATTTAAACGTATAAAATTCCATGAAGTTCCAAATCCATTTCCGACTTCAACCTCAGGCTGAAGAGCCACTATAGCTTTTCTAGTCTTGGCCTTCACACCCATCATGTGGCCCAGCCCCAACTGCTGACATAAAACTTGCTTCATTCTCTGCTTTAGGTTGAGACTCGAGTCCAAGTTGCATGCTCTCTCTCAAACCTACTACTTCTTTTTTCATCCCAGATTAAGGTCTGTACAACAACTTGCATTACCTCTCAGCATAAGGCACAGTCTTTTCTTTCAATACAAAACCATCATGTGGAATGGTTCTTGCAGAATCACTTGAAATACCTCATCTTTGAGCTCCAAAATTCTCAGGAAGCCCTCAGCCAACCCATTCTCAGCCTTCCGCAGGGCAGCTAGACCTCCTAGATCTTTAAGTTTCCCTCCATCCTGAGACAGCCTCAGGACAGATTCCCAGGGAAGTATCAGGACCAGGACAAGCACAGGACAAGCATGGCCTACCCAGCCTACCCAGCCCTTAGCACCTGCTTCTGAAAGTAGCAAGGGTGTACAGCAGAGGAGACCTTTTCTCACATGTGAAGTTTACTACCAGAAAAAAACATAACACAACTAGAAGAAAATTTTGTGTCCTGTGAGCACATCCTGTGTATGTTAATTTCTTCTTCCGGTCAAGATATCTACTGCTTCCTAAGCATGTGTTTTCTCCTCAAAGGGAGTGGCTCCTGTCTGTGTCCTGCTAGGTGTGGAAAGCATCTGGCTTTGTTCAGAGAAGGATCTAGAAGGGACAGAGCTTGCAGGGAAGTGACAATAGCATTGAGGTCACACCCTCACTTTCCACAGGGCCCATAAAGGGTTCATCATTTGGTCATTACAGAAACCAACAACAGAAACCACTGGGACATGTCAGGAATCCCGACCCTACAAAGACCACCCCGAGACCAAGGCCAGCCTGAACTGCATAGCAAGACCCATCTCAAAAAACCCAACGCCCCAAATAACACATTAAAATATTGTTTATTTTGGTGACTGAGAGTTTTGGGGGCCCCTTAAGCTTTGCAGCTCAGATAAGTAGTTTATTTGCCTCACCCCAGCCCCAGACCCGCTGAGATACAGAGCTCACTCTATTAAAAAATCAGAAGTAGATTAAAAAAAATCACAATGTGGATGAGGTTATTTATCTGATGGGTTTCTTCCACACTATGAAAGGAATTCTCCACAATATTATAAACAACAACAAAAACAAAAACAAAGCAGACACCACTTAAACCTCTCCTCATCTAAAAAAAGAAAAAAAATGTGTACCCGATGTTGTAAAAACTGCTTTTTAGCAGTTCAGTTTTTATTGAAAATGTTCCAAAAAGAGGTTTGGTCAAAAAGATCAAAGCCATGTCATTATCATCCAACCTCTCAGATTCTTCTGTGTCCTTGCCTTCCTCCCCTCAGCTGGGCAGGGCAGGACCTGCTGGTATGACCCAAGCTGCCGGAACAGGCCAGCTGTCCCTACACTGCAGATGAGGTGCCAAGCGCTGACGCATAGCTGCTTTCATGAGGGCGTTGGTCTTGTCCCCCATGGTCACCTCATGGTGCAGAAGGACCGGAAGTGGATGCCGGTGAGCTCAGTTGTGGAGGCCATGTTGCAGGCCCTGGGCTCAGTGCACGATGAAGGGAGGTCTTCACCCCACCCTCGCCTTAGCTGCCTGGGAAGAACCTAGCATCCCCTGGCATCCTGCCGGCAGTTGAGGGAAGGGCAGAAAATGCTTTCATTTGCCACACAATTTCCTAACCCACTCAACTTCCAAGAGACCATGAGGGAACAGAAGACTAAATAATATAATGCATAGAAACTCCAAATGTTTTCCAATGAATGAATATAAAAAGGAATGAAGTTTTGATATATGCTACAAGGTGTATCAATCTTGGAAGATTTGTGCTAGGTAAAATAAGACACAAAGACAGACACAAATAATGTTGTGTTATTCTAGTTATGGGAAATGCCCAGAACAGGCAAATCCATAGAGATAGAAGCTAGATTAGTGGTTTCCATGGCCTAAGGAGAGAAGGGAAGGGGGAATGGCTGGTAACAGGTACAGAGATTCTTTGGGGGGCTATGTTCTGGAATAGTAGTGATGATTTCACACTTTTGTGAATTTCACAGTTGTGTGAAACCTGCTAAACTGTATGCTTTAAAAGGGCAGATTTTATGGTATATGGATATCGTAATGAAGTTATTAGGAAAACAATCATGAACAGGGAAGAAAAACTGATCCCAGAACTAACAAGAAAGCTAAATGTAAGGGGAGGTTGGGCAGGTAGCTCAGAGGCTAGACACTTGCCTAGTAAAGGAAAAAGGAGAGGCAATGTCTGCAAATGAAACAGAGACTTAAAGATAGATACACAGGCAAGATAACATTCTGCCAAAAAAGAAAAGCAAGCTTGATGTGAATTGCAGTGGTTTAAGCCAGCACTTTCATGGATCTGATCCTGTAACTTCTCCAACTGAAGAAAAGTGGACCAGAACATCTATTTCCTAGGGTTGGTAGGAGGGTTCAGGAGGGCACACACATAGACCCAGGAACCCAGCAGGATCTCAATCAACTCTGTCTATACCTCTGTGATCCCAGTTCATCTGTTAGATGTGAACAAGGCAGTGGGGACTCGACTGGATGAGCAAAGGTAGAAAGAAGAAAACACCAGCAGAGACTGGTGCCCACTGAGACAGAGAGGAAACCAACATATGAACAAATGAGAGAAAGTGATGGATATGTAAGTGGTCTGCAAGAGCCTCTAGGTACCACATGAATTTTAAAACATGTTTTCTTTTTTTGTAATTAACCAATGTAAAGAAAACCTTGATGGAATCAGGATGTAATACAAACTGTGGTGACCTGCATATAAAATCTGGCATTAAACTGGGCCTTTGGGGGAACATTTGTACATAAATGTATGCAAGAAGGTCTGCACCAGTATACATGTGGCAGCCGACTGGTGACCTCCACAGGAGGGGACACAAGGGTGACCCAGAGAGGGCACACAGAGAGCTCTCAGCCCTCCAGTCTCAGGGGAGCCCTACGTGAGAACAGCTGCTGTGAGCAGGGACGGAGAAACCTTGTTGCCCAAGGCAGGACCCCTTCTAAAATGCCGTAAGCCTGGCACAAAGTGAAAGCCTGGCTGGAAGGGCTGCCCGGAGGTCGGGGGCGGCCTTCTCTCTCTTGCTCCTGGCTCTGTCTGCTACTTGAACGTTCTGGTTTCCTGGTGGACAACCATCTTGCCTGGTGTGTACGATTCCATTCACACCACCACAACAGGAAGGGTAAGAGTAAATAAAAGAGGGGTGCTCGGTCTATGCCTGCTCAGGAAGCTCTGGGACATCCCTTGTGTGTGAATCTCCTTTTTCCACAGGGATCCATTTCTGTGGAGGCCCAAACCCACAGACAGTACCCACCTCCATGTGACACGTATTTTCCCTCTATATATGTAATAATGATAAAGTTTTGTGTGTGATGAGGCACAGTAAGAGACTGACCATAGCAATCAGTAACAGCAATTATACTAATGCACTGAAATAAAATTTATTTTAACTCGAGTGTGATGACGCACAGCTGTAAAGCCAGCACCCTGGGAAGCTGAGGCACGTTTGAGCCCCGCCCAGCAGCTTAGTAACTTAGCAAGACCTTGTCTCAATAAAGAAAAAAGAGCTGGGGGTGTAGCTCAGTGGGAAGGTCTTGGGTTCAATACCCAGTAAACACACACATACACACACACACACACACACATTATTTGAAACTTATGAGTTATTTATTTCTGAACTTTTCCATTTAATATCTTTTGGATAAAAATTGACTTTTGGGTAACTGAAACCCCAGAAAGAGCTACTGCAGCTAAGGGGGGGCTGACTATGCATCATATAGGGAGTGCGTCGTTCAAAGGATTCACCTCAAATCTGATGCATCTTCTGGGGATGAGAGATTTCTCAAGGAAACAGGAGGAGGTAACAGAAAATCTGTCAGGTTGGGCTGTGTCTACACCCTCGGATTACAAGAAGTTGAAAAGCATGAAGAATGAGACAAAAACAACTCATCTCCAACAGTCACACAGGAGCTGCCCTTGAAAACTGAGCCTTCTCTGATCCTTGCATTCTTGGAGGGCCTTCACAGGCCTATTTACAAACTAAAAGAGAGGGCTTATTTGCCATTTCGGAGGGTTTAAATATTAGGGAAGCTGGGACAACGCAGATCCCAGGACCTTCACACTGTGCCACATTCACAGCCCTGCGCTCCCTCCCTCCCTCCCTCCTTCCCTTCCCTCCTTCATTCCATCCATCCATCCACCCAAGACAAGGTCCCCCT